CATGTCTCTACTATCCTTCATTCTGGGAAATTTCCTTAACCACTCCTTAGTTTTTATGACTTTGACACTTTGAAGGCTAGTTATTTTGCAGCTGGCACCTCGATTTGAATTTGTCTTACATTTCCTCATACTACATTCTGATTATGCATTTTTGACAGAAATATCACAGTAGTTCTTCCATGTTCTCGATGTCTCTTTCCGGTACTACTCATGTTTAATTTTTTCATTATTGGTGATGTTAACTTTGATCACTAATAGAGTCTCTGTTAGATTGAGTAACTGTAATGTTACTATTTTTCCTTTTATAATTAATTATTAATTTGAAGGTATATACTTTAATACTTTTTCTATCTTTTTCTCATCTCATTTTTACACATCTGCTTTGGCAACCACTGATTCTCCTTGGCTGATTTAATGTATATTATGCTGTTTTTGTTTTAAAACTGAAGTGCTCATTTTAAAAATTAATTTTGTTGCTTTCTGATATCACAAATTTTTCAGCTTATCTTGTGCTTTCTTTGTCCCAGTTCTTGAATCAGCCATTTCTACAAGATGGCCTAGTTACTTTCAGTGAAGAATGATATTTAGAGTCCAGTATCTGGCTTCTAGAAGTGCTCGTTGCTACCAGTGCCCATTGCAGCTCTCAAGTCTTCTCAGGGGACAGAGCTAGCTCAGAAATTGTTTGTTCAATGACAGTCTCAGAAAAAATAAGCTATGCATATAAATGACTGATCACAGATAGACATACACACAAACATATTTTTACTTACTCTTTCCTCTCTCCATCTATCTATATACATTAAAATCAGAGTTCATCTAGATACCTCAAATACCAAGTCATTCATACTGGATCATTTTAGTTTTTGTCCTTTTGCTATCTGTAACTCTCTTCTCTAAGAGAGTAAGAAAACTATTCATTTGTGTGCTTTCTATATGTACTAATTTTTTCAGTGTCCTGGAGAAATCAATCATTCATCACTTTAACCTCCCCCGACCCAACTTACGTGGACCCTTCCCAACCCTGATACTGCAAAACTCCTCTTTAGGTTGCTGTTTGTGTCTTGACACATGGACAATCTTTTTACCCTGCTTGGATCTCCACACCCCACACTGGACCCATGAAGTTTCTGCCACTTTCCATTTATTCTGCTCAGGCTTTGACACGCAATGCCAGGCTGCTGCTGTACTTCATTCAGCTCATCTCCACAAAGATATCTACCTTGTTTTGATGTAGGAGTTAATTATGCAAGAGCAAAAATGGAAGGAAAGAAGGAAGAAATGGAGGAGAAGAGGAAGGAAGAAAAAAAGATCTTTGAAGCAAAGAATGCTGAAAAGGTGTACCTTTCCTATATATTCACTGAATATGAAACATAATTTCACTCTAAGCCTTGACTCTTAATTTATTGCTCTTTGGAAATAAGGTATTCTGTTACTGTATAAAATATCATATGCTAAATGATCTTGACCTTGCACTAGGTCAAACAGATCAGTGATATATAGAACTGTGATATTTATATATATTTGGAAATATATTTCTATGCAATATTTCTTGTATATCTTATTCAAAACCATATTACACTTTCAGTGTTTGGATTCTGCAGAGAAAATAAAATTTTATACCAAATATTAGTATTAAATAAAGGAGCCCCAACAGAGAAATTTTATTTATGTGTTGACAATTAAATATATATTTTGCATATAAAACTGAGTGTCTCATTCATTTTTGTAGCTTCATTACAAATTATGTTGAATACAACTGCTTCTGAAACAAATTTTTAACTTGAAGTTGTATAATACTTAGAATATTAAGAGAAATGAATTATAAAAATGTTCAAAACATTCTAACTCTTAGCTTAAATGAAAAGGACAATTTTTATTATGATTGGGCAGAAGGAAACCCACCAATTTAATATCTTCATTAGAAGAGTAGGTCTCAAATACATTTTCCAATGAAAAATGTTCCAGTAAATATTGGGATATACGAAGGTACACAAACATTAAATATTTCCTATGGCTTTAATAAAGCTGCTTGATCTCATTAATATAATGTTTTGTTTTTCACATTATTTCAAGGATTAAAAATTATTTAACCCTAAGAATAATGCTGGTCATTTATCAAGTTGTATCTAATAGGAAACTACAGAATTTATGAAAAGGGCAATACAATATGTATCAATATTATTAATAAAATTATGAGGGACCCGATAAAACTGGAATTTGTTTATTAAAAAATGTATATTGACTCTTACATGTTTATACTTCAGTCACCTTCAATGTCCTCTCCATTTCAAGTACTATACCTATCTAGATGCTTTTTTCACTGTTCAAAACATTTCTGAACTCATCAATTTTGATGCCTCTTAGTGCTTCTGATGCTTTTTGTTTCACCTTTTCCACATCAAAACATTTCCCCTTTAGAACTTTTTTTCATCCAGGGAAACAAACAAACAAAAAAGCACACTCGGGGCAAGATCAGGTGAACAGGGAGAGTAGGGCGAAAGGGGTCATGTTGTTTTTGGTCATAAACTGCTGAACACTCAGTGCAGTGTGGGCAGATGTGCTCGCAAATCACCCATCATGAAATGGACAAATGCACTGAAAGAATCTCAAAAAAAAAGAAATTCACTGAAGCTGAAGGCAACCTCTCACAACTACATCAACTGGGACGCTAATGCTGAAGGGTTCCTAGAACAACACTTAGCAGGAAAGCCTATACCACAAGAACCCCGCCTATCAAATTAAAATTCCGGGTTTTTTTTGGGTCCCCTCTTGTATATATATCTATATTGATCATATACCTATTTATAAAAAGTTCATGCCAATTACAAGAAAATTTGTCTAATTTCCTAAAGCTTGAAATTAATTTTAGCAGTGAATGTTTATTATCAATACAGTTGATTCTTCAATTTTTATTCATGTATTTTTGTATGGCTTGACTTATTTCATTTTCCTCGAATTTAATTTGCCTGTATAATGATTTCTTCATATTCTTAAATGCAGAGAGCCTATTCACCAAAATTTACATGGAAATTAACTTTTATTGACTACATAGTAGACAATAAATATTTGTTTATTTTCTTCCTTTTTTCATCCTTTTCCTTCCTATCTTAACTCTCTTCTTACACTTTTTTTCTCTCTGCCTCTTTCTTCCATTATTTGCACACAATTCCTTCTCTCCTTTCTCTCTCAATGTAATAATATTGATTTGGAAAATAACAGCTCTCTAAGTTACATAATGATTTGAGCATTGCAGATTTAGTAAACTTTATTTTTTTATTTTTATTTTTATTTTTGAGTTGGAGTCTTACTTTGTCGCCCAGACTGGAGTGCAGTGGCCGCTCCCGGCCACTGCACCTTCGACCTTCTGGGCTCCGGCAATCCTTCTGCCTCAGCCTTCCAAGTAGCTGGAACTACAGGCGCGCACTACCACACCCGGCTAATTTTTTTATTTATTGTAGAGATGAGGTCTCACCAAGTTGCCCAGGAGGGTCTCGAACCCACGGGCTCAGGCTATCCACTCACCTCAGCCTCCCAAAGTGAGGGATTACAGGCTGAGCCACCGAGCCCGGCTAGTAAACTGTATTTTTAAAAATTTTCCTTTATGGTCTTTACAATTAATGACATCGCTTTTGAGAATATAGCAAAATATGTGCACATATATAATAATTTAATATAAAATTGCAGTTATATATAAAAATGTTTTATACTTAAAATGTTTTGAAAATTCTTCATAGAAGTTTTTTATTCAATTAAAACATAAAATTATAATAGATTTCTGATATTTCTTTTCCTAGTATTATAAGACTGTAAATCACATTATTTTCACCTAAGCTACATAAACTATTGTTAACAGTATATTTTCAGATGTCCAATGAGTAGTCTTCTAAAATATAATAGCAAATTCTGGAAATATATGTTTTTATAAAATTAAAACATACCTGTATGTTAAACCTGCAGTTTCAGCTAATTTAATTTAATACTCTACATGTTATTAATTTTGTATCTTTAAGCTATAGAGGTAGAATGAACATGTTATTATATACACAAAATGAAACATAGAACATTTTTGGACAAAAGTTATATATACATAAATTTTCCATTTCCCTTTAAATGTAAGACAACTATTGGTTCTTTTAAGTCTAGAAGTTTAAAATAGATGAATTCTAATTCATTTCCTCTCAGGATATTTTTATTTTTAACTTTTGGACAGGATTCTTACTTTACTTAAAACATAATTTGCTTTCTTAAAACATATGTTCCCTATGTCTTTCACATATAGCTCATAAAGTTTAGGAAATTAGAATCACTGTTTATAGTCAGTCTTGATCAGTAACAGTCAATACATTCTAAGTCCTCATTATATATCAGATATGATTGCCCCAAGATTTTAAACACTAGTACATTCTTTAAATAATTATCTGTATCATGACTTGTAAAAATATAAAATGTATTCTTCATTAACATTAAAACTAAATGATACTTTTTAAAACTTTTTGGAAGTTCAAATTTTTATTACAAACACTTTAAAAGTTAAGTCTCAGGTTTTTAAAAACCATTATGGATACAAAAGAATGTATACCTTTATGGGCACATGTGATATTGTGATATAAACATACAATGTGCAGCGATCAAATCTGGGTAAATGGGATACCCATCACTTCAAACATTTACGATTTCACTGGGTTGAGATTATTCCAAATCCACTATTTTAGCTACTTTGAGATATATAAAAACTCACTGTTAACTACAATAGTCTTATTATACTACCAAACACTATATCCTATTTCCTTCTAACTGTATTTTTGTACCCACTGAACAACCTCTCTTCCCCACCCCCCATCCTTTCCAATCTCTGGTAACCATCATTCTACTTACTACTTTTACGAGATCAATTTTTTATTTTTAGATCTCACATGTGGAGACTATTTTTATCTATTTAAAATTTTATTTGCTTACAGAAATAATGTATGGGATCACAGAAATGACCGTGCCATACTTACCAGCCAAAGCAAGAATATATTCTTGAAATCTTGTTCCTATACGGTTGGTGGCTGTGCAATTATATCGTCCAAAGTCATTGTCAGATGTAGGTGCAATCTAAAAAACATATAGTAATAAAAGTTATAGTTCTAAAACTAATAGAAGTTCTAAAACAAACCTTAGCATGCCTACTATTTGCACACATCTTCAGTTATTTACCCCACAATTTCTTGCCATTAGCTTTATTTTCTCTATTAAGCAAACATTACTAAATCATATAAATCCTATTAAGATGTATTCAGGAGCCCATAGTATCCATAGGATTAGTTGAATCATAGTTTTTCTATTAAAACATTAAATTTTCACTTAATGTTCTAATAGAAAAACTATGCCAACATTTTGATGCAATTGTTGAATAGCAAAACTATTAGCTGTTCCTACATGTAAAGTTCATAAAGTGGTACATGGTTTGAAATACACACACACACACACACACACACACACACACACACACCCACACACACACGCACGCATGCGTGCACGTGCGCACACACACACACACACACACACACAAAGTTTGCAACCAATGCAGGTGAAAACTTGAAAACAGGAAGCTTGCACTGAAAATTTGCACTAAAATTGTTAACTCTCTTTTCTGTCTTAGCTTCAGACCAGTCTGACTTAAAGTTCAAGAAATATTTTCTAAATATGTGAGATTTTCATCCCTTTCTTGAATTTATTGAACATAAAATACTAATGAAGGACGAGGGATTATTCTACAAAAATCTTTCCAGGAGTATTTTACAAGAAAATGTTACCCTTGTGCAACAATCCCCTTAGACAGTCACTTTTTCTTAGTATCTAATAACAGTATCTTGCCTTCATTTCCATTCAACTCCTATCATTCTCCTTCAGTTTAGGTGGAAAATAGCTGACCTCAATCCTTACACATCTGAAATCCATAATTAAGTTAACCTTTGAGGATTCTATTGGTGAACATTGGGACCAACCCTGTAATTCTAATGTACAGAAAATCTGAAGTATCAATTTAGAAAAGAGATTTGATGATAGTAATAGATATAATTTTCAATCTCAGTAACTATTATTAAGAGAGAATATGCTTACAACAAGAGTTGCTGTTAATTTCAACACTATCCCAAAAGAGGGAAAAATGATTCTGTGGTAATGGGAGGCTATTAACTAAAAGTGCAATTTTGAGGTCCATTGAAGATGATAATTCGAAAAGAGCACAAAAAGCTGTGTCATTCACTTTTTAGTCAGCTGTCCATCTAGAAACAGATCGTAGGATTAAACCTTAGAATTTTTAACAGCACTTATGTAAGTATTGCTAAATGATTCAAATATTCATTTTTCATATGTAGGGTGTTTAAATAAACAAGGCTAATTTAAATTAATTCTACTAATGAGAAAAAATTTAAGAAAAATATGCTTCTATTCAACAGGATATGAGAAAGTATTTTTTGTATAATCAACAGGAAAAAAATGAGTTTTCCAAATTAATACTATGCTGAGACAGGATAGCCACAACAAAGAATTGTGACTATTTCATAGCAGCTTAAAATTAATAATTTAAATATAATCATTTCATTAGAATAAATTTTAAAAGCACAATTTATTTTTTGTCATTCCTGTAAGTTTAGATATAAACAGATAAAAAGGTTTACAATTCTATTTTAATAAGTAATTATTTTGTCATGTTGTATAATTATCAGACACAGAAAATACCTATGACAGCATAGATGAACACACACACACACACACACACACACACAGAGTTCTAGATTTAACCTGGCTGAATCATGTGCCCCAAAGCATATTTAATATATTCAGGCAAAGCATTGTGAAATTAAAATCCAACAGTGGTTTTACACTCAAACCCTGCACAATCAAATATCATATAATTTTATCAAAATATAAGATACCCACGGTTTATCATAGAGCATTAAGTAAAAAGATTTAAAATTTTAAAATGTGTAAAACATTGATAATATTTATCCAGGAAGTACTAAGAACATCTACTCAGAATATCGTATTTTCATATTTAAATACAGGCATATCTTGTTTTTTAATTTTGAAGATGTGGGGTACAATTCAGGATTAGATATTCAATTGGTCACCGTACAGGTAAAGTTTGGGCCTCCCTTTTGTCCCCACTTTGCCTGGTTTGAGAAAAGGTACCCTTATTAATGTTATATGCCCTCCTTCCCTGGCAGTTTCTGGCTACTGCCAATCCCTTTCTTACAATATTATGGTAAATGTTCAGGGTCCATTTATGAGTGAGAAAATGTGGTACACAGTTTTTTGTTTCAGAGGTAAATCACTGGGTATTATAGACGCTGAATACATACCTTGTTTCATTGTGCTTCACTTTACTGCACTTCAAAGGTATTGCTTTTTTTTTCCAAATTGAAGTTTGTGGCAATCCTATATTATAAAGCAGGTCTATTGGCATCCTTTTTTCAACAGCTTGAGTTCACTTTGTGTATGCATGTCACCTTTTGATAATTCTGTCAATATTTCAAATTTGTGCACAGATATATTGTGGTGGTGTTTGATCAATAATCTTTGATGTTACGACTGTGACTGTTTTAGGGCACCATGAAATATTCCCATATGAGTCAGAGAATGGGACAGTGTCTGTGAATGTGCTCTGACTGTTCCACCTGTCCACTCCCCCAACTGTCTCCCTCTTTTGGGGCCTCCTATTCCCTGAGACACAACAATATTAAAAATTAGGCTGCTTAATAACCCTACATTGGCATCAAAGTGTGCAAGGTAAGGGAAGAACCACATTTCTCTCATTAAATCAAAAACTATAAATGTTAAGTTTAGTGACAAAGGCAGGTCAAACCAAGATAGGCCAAAATCTAGATTTATTGCACCAGTTGGTCAAGTAGTAACTGCAAAGAAAAAGTTCTTGGAAAAAAAAAAAATCAAAAGGAATCCTCTAGTAAACACACAACTGGTGAAAAAGTGAACAGCTTTATTACTGATATGGAGAAAGTTTGAGTGGTCTGGATAGAAGATCAACCAGTCACAACATTCCTTAAGCCAAAACAAAATCTAGAGCAAAGACTTTTATTCAATTCTTGAAAGGTTGAGAAGTGAGAAAGTTGTAGAAGAAAATTTTGAAGCTAAGAGTTTGATCACAAGATTTGAGGAAAAAGCCAACTCGATGACATAGAAGTGCAAGAAGAAATAGGAAATGCTGAAGGAAAAGCTGCAGAAAATCATCCAGAAGATCTGAGATCATTGATGAAGGTAGATACACATCTAAAAAATAGATTTTCAATGGAGATAAAATAGCCTTCTACTGGAAAAAGATGCCATCTAGGACTTTCATATCTAGAAAGAAGAAGTAAATGCCTGGCTCAAAATTTCAAAGGGCAGGCTGACAGTCCTGACAGGGGCTAATGAACCTTGTGACTTTAAGCTGAGACCAATGTTTGTACACTATTATAAAAAGCAGAAAGCATTCACAAACTACTCTGCATCTACTCTGCCTGTGCTCTGTCAATGAAACAACAAAGTGCACATGAGAGCACACCTGTTTATAGCATGGTTTATTGAGTATTTTAAATCCACTGTTGACACCTACTGCTCAGGAAAAAGGTTCCTTTCAAACTACTACCCATCGTTGACAAGAGACTTGTTCACTCAAGAGCTCTGATGGAGAAGTACAAAAAGATTGTTGTTTTCATGCCTGCTACCACAGTAGTCATTCTGTAGCTCATGGATCATGGAGTGAATTGAAACTTCAAGCCATATTATTGAAGAAATACATTTCATAAGATTATAGCTGCCGTGATAATGATTCCTAATCCATGCACAGTGGTTCATGTTCATAATCCCAATGCTTTGGAGAATGAGACAGGAGTATCATTTGATGCCAAGGTCACTGAGTATTGATCCCTCTGATGGATCTAGGCAAAGTAAATTGAAAACCTTATGAAAAGGTTTCACCATCTAGATGCCATGAAGAACTCATGGGAGGAAGTAAAAACATCAGTGGAGTCTGAAGATGAAATGAATTGCTGTAATCTCATGATAAAACTGTAACAGATGAAAAATAGCTTCTTTTGGAAGAACAAAGAGAGTGGTTTCTAGAGATGGTATCTACTCCTACTGAAGATGCTGTGAACATTGTTGACATGACAACAACATATTTAGAAGATTACATAAACTCAGTTGATAAGGCAGTGTCAGGGTTTGAAAAGATTGACTACAATTTTTAAAAGATCATCTGGCCGGGCTCGGTGGCTCAGCCTGTAATCCCGTGCTTTGGGAGGCCGAGGTGAGTGAATTGCCTGAGCCCACGGATTCGAGACCCGCCTGGAAAACTTGCCGAGACTTCATCTCTACAATAAATCAAAAAATTAGCCGGGCATGGTAGCGCGCGCCTGTAGTTCCAATTACTTGGAAGGCTGAGGCAAAAGGATCACCGGAGCCCAGCAGGTCGAGGCTGTGGTGGCTGGGAGCAGCCACTGCACTCCAGTCTAAGCGACAGAGTGAGACTCCAACTCAAAAAAAAAAAAAAGAAACGATAATCTGCTAGAGACAAAATGTTATGAAACAGCATCATTTGCTACAGATAGATCATTCATGAAAAGAAGTGTTAATCAATGCAGCAAACTCCACTGTGGTTTATTTTAAGAAATTTTCCTAGCCATCCCAACCTTCAGCCATCACCACCTTGATCAGTCAGCAGTCATCCACATGAAGGCAAGAACCTCTACCAGCAAAAAGGGGCAACTTGTTGAAGGCTCAGAGCATTTTTTAGTAATAAAGTACTTTTCTAGTGAAGGTATTTACGTTATTTTTAGATATAGTGCTACCGCACACTTAATAAACTGCAGTATAATATAAACATAACTTTTATATGCACCGAGATATCAAAAATATAGTGTGACTTGCTTTATTTGGATATGTACATTATTGTGGTGGTCTGGATTACAACCCACAATATCTCAGAGGTCTGGCTGTACCCAGCTAAAATAAATTTAGGTTAATTTATGATGTTAGGTTTTGACAGAATAAAAATGGATCAACAAATATTGTTTTGAACATATAAATATAAGCTAAGCGTACAATGTTAATAATGAAGCTTGTTTGTCTTTTTACCTAAGCCTCAAAAAATTAGTTTCTTTTCCTACATATTCCATGATGCGAAAATCATGAGATTACCAGTCAGTATTCTCACTTAGAACAGAAAACGATACAGATGATTCAAAATAGAATATTATTCCAATACAACTATTAGAAACTTGTGCCCATTTAAAACGTTGTATTATTACCTTAAGGTGTGGTCAAGTTAAAAAAAATAGTGATGACTTTTACAGATGCATTTATTGACAGTAACCCAACAAACTTATTGATTATTTGGTTATATTTTAAAATCATAAATTTAAAAGTTTGGATAATTTTTTATTAAAAAAAAGCTTTAAAATTGAGTTTAAGAAACATATTATTGACCAATTTGTTATTAAGTGTAAACTTCATTTTTAATATATTTTACTGTATGCTCTCAAGAATTAGCAAGTATGACTCTTACAACTATTAAACAAAATTAATAATAATTTATTATCTCAAGCAACTATGCATGCTACTAGCTACATAGCTAAATATTAGTAATTACTAGCTAAATATTAGTAAGGTTGATTGTTGCTTTTTCTTGTTATTGCTTTGTATTATTTTCTCATCAAACTGCATTAGTCACACATCTACGTTTTTTAATCTGGACTTTAATGTGTGAAAAACAATATAAACATAAAATGTAAATATTCAAAGTCAATGTTTTAGCCAACAGATCAAATGGCTACAGGTAAAATAAACAACATTTGTTTATTTTTCTTTTTGTAGTACAGAGGGATGTTATTTAGGCAGAAGTTTAGGCAGCATCAGATATTTACATAGTTAAATACATAAACATTTTATTTATGACCGTTCTTTGGAGAAAATTCCATGGAGGACTATAGGTTTTCCCAGAAGCTTAAAAATGTCAATATGAAATAAAGCAGAAATTACACATTAGTCTGTGATTTATGTATGAACTTAAATCCACCTGCTGCGTACTGAACTGTGTATCACTGCCCCAATTAGAGTGAAGCTTAACCCAGCAGAACTAGTAAGAAATAGACACCAGAACTCTCTCTCTCTCTCTCTCTTGCTCTCTCTCCTTCCCTCCTTCCCTTCCCCCCCCATCTCTTTCTGTTTCTCTCATGCAGCAAATAGAGGAAGTGGCAGGTGCTGACTCAGCAAGAAGGCAGCTATCTACAAATTAAGAAAAGAGTCAGGCAAAGAGACTAATACACTACCTAAACCTGAAGCTAAATCTAAACTCGGTTTTTAACTAAGATAAACCTAAAATTTACATTCAAACTGCCCCAATGTTTTTGAGATATTAACATCCCTGTGAATTCACCAATAGCTAGTTCTAATGCAATTTCAAAGACTGATATTTAAAATGAAATAGATTTGGACAAAGTGGTTTAATTACCAGTCAGCTATCCAATATTTGGGGATGTGATGGCTAGACCTTTCTATCAAAAAAATCTTTTGCTAAGTCTAATTGGTATCAATAAAGACAGCTTAACTGAATGTAGTATGAATATCAGATGTTATTCTAAGACGTATTTCATTTGGTTTATGTAAATTGAATTAGTGAAGAAAAATGGAGTGGCATTTCAGAAAAATAAGGTTTTGGGAAGAAGATTCCCAGTTGTTCTAACTGCATCTTATATTAAAAGCATGATCATTTTTAGATACTTGTATACATTTGAAAATTGATAAACACACAATCTGCAATTAATTTGTACAAGAAATTTTATTCAAATACCATTTAAGAGTTAGCCACTTGGCAGTATAAACACAATTATATACAATCTTAATTTTAGAAATAGGGGCAACGTGGATGGACTTAGCATCTATAATACTCAGTGAACTATCACAGAAACAAAGAACTGAGTGCCACATATTCTCACTCATAAAGAGACCGTGAGCATTTACCAAAATACTTAAAGAAAGGGATTAACAGTAGTGGCTACTGCCAGGATTGAGCGGGGAG